CAAATGAAGTTCTTAGCAATGCATATTACTAATCAAAAATTAAGTTTTGATATATTTACAGTAGGAAATTTACAAAATATCTCCATGGAACATGATCTTTACTTAATATCCTAATGATTTTTGGCATAAAAGAAAAATTGATAATTTTAACCTATACAATGTATTGTTGGCTATTGCTACAAATATACCCCAGCGACTTCAGACTGCTTTTGTGCTCCAGGGTCACAAATGTTACTACTTGTTTCAGAACGTTCAGAGAACATTCAAAAGTAACATTCCCTTAATGTTTGCAAAATGATCAAATGGAATGTTCCCATAACATTCACATAATCAGGAAAAATAAATACATAAATAAAACATCTTAAAAATGGACATTTAGAGAACATTCAGAAATAACTTTCAAATGACTTAATTGGACATTAGCGCAAAGAAGTTATTTTTACTTTGTTCATGAAAATGTGTTAGTTTTCATTACCTAATGGGAATGTTAGCACAAAAACTTTTTCGATTTTTTTCAGTTGGACGTTCGCCTGACATTTTTTAAATGCTACTACTTGTTTTAGAATGTTCAGAGATTTAAAAAGATTTTAAAAGCAACATTGTCACAATGTTTGCAAAATGATAAACTGGAATGTTCCCTTAACATTCGTATAACCTAGAAAAATCTTTTTCAAACATAAAAAAAAAAATGGACGTTTAGAGAACATTCAGAAATAATGTTTTCATGACTTAATGGGAATGTTAGCAAAATATTCTTAGAACATATTTGTGTTAGCTAGGGAGACAGTTTAGCAAGACCACATGGTAATGTCATAAATGTTCACGGCGTTTAATTACTTTTACACATTAATTAGGGAAAATTACAGTATAATGCAATACAGTGAATAACAACCGTCTGTGGTCTCCCAGTGCTTTGTGATTAACCTACAACAAAACAAAAGCAATACGCCTTTTTGTCTTGCATTTCATAATGAAATTGGACGAGCTCAGTGCCGACCCATTTTCTGTAAATTATCTTTCATAATTGTGTGCTAAGGATTGTGGGAGGTCGTAGGACACAGAGGATACACTTGATGAATGATCAAAATATGCTGAACGAAGGGCGCAAAATGAAGGCTGCCTTCCAAGGATCCTTTAACCTGAGACAGCCTTCGATGCAGCCTAGATTTCACAGCGGAAACGATGTGCATGGTGCATGCTGGAATCTTTCTCCAATGATGGCCATTCAAAAAGCTGAAATAAGATTACTGATAAAATTCGATGTTGTAACTACACTGCTTCTTTTTGGGAGTCTAAAATAAAAGAGTGAAGAGCTGTGGTGCCGTCAGCCAATCACATTCGTCATAATCAGATTTTCCAGTGGCGTTTGAGTGATAAGTCACATGGCATTTAGGCTCAGGTGATTGGCAGCAGAACTGAGCACCCGAGATCAAAGATGGCAGATTTCAAATTGCACACCGCATGGCAGCTACACTCTAACCGCGGGGTCAAAACAACCCAATTGCTGGGTTTGTCCATATTTTACCCAGCACTGGGTTGTATTTAACCCAGCATTTTTTAGTGTACAGTATATTGTATTAGAAATATCCAGCATTCCTGTTTCATTTAAGTTAAAGGCTGAAACGTTTCTCCATACCGAGAATATCTGGAGAGGGCAGGCAAGTGTGGTGTAATTTCCCACTGTAAAACTCCAGACCGATGATAGCGAACATCAGGATGGCAAAGAACAGCAGAAGACCGATCTGCAGCAGCGGCACCATGGCTTTAATAATGGACTTCAGAACTATCTGTAAACCTGGTGGAATTCATCTGGATTAGTGCAAAGCTGTTTAAAACCAAATATTGTGTTTCATATGTGACAAGATGAGATTGATTTTCATAATTGCTGATTTGGTGGATGAGTTACTTACTAGGGATACCGGAGACTAGTTTGAGGGGTCTGAGCACACGCACAGCTCTCAGGGTCCTCAGGTCCACTGGGATATTCATATGAGAGCCAGCAGTGGCCAGAATCCTGCAGGCAAAAACAAACACACCGAGGAAACGGGAAATAAGAGAAAACTGTTAAAGGGAAAGTTCACCCAAAAATGGAAATTCTGTCATCATTTTCTCACCCTCATGTTGTTCCAAACCTGTACGAGTTTCTTTCTTCCACTGAACACAAAAGAAGATATTTTGCAGAATGTTGGTAACCAAAGAGTTTCTGGTCCCCATTGACTTCCATTGTTTTGTTTTTTCTACACTATGGAAGTCAGCTGTTTGGTTACCAACATTCTTCAAAATATCTTTTGTGTTCAGCACAAATGATGACAGAATTTTTATTGTTGGGAGAACTATCCCTTTCAATGTGGCACAGATCTGATTTATTTATTTTTTTCCCCACCACACAGATCCTTTTCCCAATGAGACAAAAATATTTTCATGTAACATGACATTTTTCAAAACTGCATGCTTGATTTAGCATTGAGTTATAAAATTATTCATGAATTGCACTTTATGATAGACAGAAACTGCAAAACACGTTTACTTATAATATTTGAATATACATTATGGCTCCTCAAATGTCGTGATGCTCTCTACACAGTGACAATAGATGTTCAGATGTAACAGTTCTTTATATAATAATTTTATATAACAAAATGCGATATAATAACACTTTACAAAGTTCATCAACCTTTTTCTGTAGCCTCCAGAGCTGCAGCACGTCCGTACTATTGTACATCATGATTTGCATCAACAAATCCTTCATATCGGCTACAGGAACAGAGAGGAGCCTGCTTCATTATGCCTTTTTATAAACATCCGCTTGTCTTACGGGAGCTTTCAATCTGTGATTCAAAGGAACTTATGTAATGCTTCCTGATCAAGTACAAAATCATCTATTAGAATGTGTGTTTCCTTAGGCTTAACCATGTTTTATGTATTTACTGTAGTGTCTTTAACACAAAGGCTTTTTCTAACTGAACTGATTTTGTTTTGTGTAAGTCATAATAATCAATTACGTTTGTACCTTTGTGTCATTTCACACATTTCTATCAATCAGTGTAGCATGACCAAACACTATTAATTATTTCACAATTTGATTTCTTTGTACCTGTCAGTGAAAAAGCTGAAATGCAAACATGAAATGAATATGGGCTCACCCACACATGAACACCTACACACAGCGCTGAACTGAGCTCTGAGAGCCAGTCAACGGGGAGGGGGATGGAGGAAGATGGAGGAATAACATTATCAACACTTAGTGGTGAATCATCGGCATATCTGCAGCAAATGCTTCATGTTTCACACACTATGAAAGAAAGGCTTCATGCTGAGTCTATGCTGCGTTCTGAACATCTGAGCACACTGTACGCTCATGTAGCGCTCCGTTGTCCACTTCCTCAAGACAAGCAGTAGAAGTCCTGATAAACTGTAAAATATTCACACTTGACGCATTATCAAATGTATTTCTAGGGGAAATCTGAATGACTAATTCTATGAATCATTTAATCTGAATTCATAACATCAGTAGCTGCGCTATGCAACTTTTGACTCTCTATCGCCATATGTGGCTGAATCATAAAATTGCATGTCGCTTGCAGAGGACTCGTTTTAAATCGACTTTAGGTAGCATGCACTTGCAGATTTGTAAATGGTTATAGAGAACAACTGGGCATCATGCACTAAAGGACTAGCAGACTTTCAAGTCATTCTGAGTACAACAAACTCAAACATGCAGTTTGTTGCTAGGAGACGCACGATAAATGAAAACAATGTGTTCTAAAATCAGTTCAAAATATCAATCATGCTTGATATCAGATTCTACACGACAACAGTGTTTACTGTAGCAACAAGCTGCAATCATTCCTAAGCACTCACACGTACAATTTACGGACGTGATTATATATTTAAAAAATTCAAGTTGTGTCTCAAATGACGCACTATATACTTTTTTATGTACTCAACCATAATAAAAGCTGCACCAGTTGAGCGCATAAAGTGTCCAACATTCCACACTTCGTTTTTTCGGTTAATTAAGAGCATCATCCGGGCATTTAAAGTTCATTTTTTTCTATTTGGAATTTTCTGTGTGAACACACTAAACACACTATTTAAACATGGCATAGAATAATGCACGAGTATGTGAACTGGGATGCACATTTAGTGAAAGACAGCTGTGGTTGTCAGAACTACTGTAAAAAAAAATAGTAGCAGTTTGAACTAATTGTTACAGCTTGAACTTAAATGTAAAGTTAAAAAATAAATAATACATATAATATACTGAGAGAGAAAGACACATGATCAATCAAAGTTCATCACAACTAGATTTTCCACAAGCTGAGGAGGAAAATACTAATATATAGAAGGAGCACGTAGTGTCAGACACACAAACACAATACACCATCATGGTAACACACGTGACAGTAAAATAATGTAATAAACATTCATTTAACAACATAAGATGTAACAGAAAACTGATAAGAACTATGTACATAACTGATAAGAAAAGAAGAAAGAAACCTCATTATTTCAATGAAAAGTCATCAAATGTGAGCTCTCACACAGAGAATTCTGGGAATGGCAATATCCTTTTTTGATGACTGGTTCTTTTCTCTACAGAAAGTAGGACATTTAACATCATTTTACAGTAAAATTACATAAAATGCCCCATTAGATGTATCACAGCTAGGCAAGAACACCTTCAACACTGATTTTTATGTAATAGCTGAATAATGGAATTGTATTTATTTTTAACCAAAAAAAAAAAAAAAAGACAGCTTTAAATAAAATAAAACCAGCAAAAACATGCCACTGGAAACTCTAAGCAATTCTGACGACACTGATGCAATTATTCTGAATGCTTCCCCTGGTATATACTGCATGTTCAAAAAGATGTTGTAGTCAAATGTTTAAAATTACTTGGAAAGATTTATGGCTTATGGGACTGTAGTTACTGTTCATATTTTGTCCGAATATTGTCTTTATAGGTTCACGACGTCAGTGGTTCTGGAATGTTTTTGACGTTTGTATTTTGAAGCCTGTTGAAAAGACCTGTGCATGCTGGTGTTCCCATTAGACTTATTAACTAGCTTAACAATGCTTTCTTGGTCAACTAGAATCGTCATGTTGGTTGACATAATCACAGATTTCGCGGGTGAACTAAACCAGCACTAACTAGCATGTTGACCTATCAGCTGGTCGTCAGCAGGGACAGCTAATCCAATGCTTTTTACATTGGTAAAGACATTTCAGACATGCTGCATCTCTGTACTCTGCATGTAGACAGTCTCAAACATTACTTGAAGGATCATGAGAAGCTGTGTGTGAGCTGTCACTTCAACGCTATCATACTCGTATTTGTTTTATCATGTCAAATGCAAAGTTTCTCCATATGTTCCCAGAGGACCTGTGAAGGAAAAAATATCAAATTGGCTCTGTCCCAGAAGATTCGCTTGCAGCTAATCATTAATTTCAGAAGAAATGAAAGCCACAAGCAATGGCCTACTGGCCTTGTTTCAGTTCCCAGATGAGTGGAATGACACATGTAGTTTTCTTTTAAATCTGACTTACTTTCGCTGTTTTTAAAGAGGTCAGGTATGTTGGAGTCAAAAGTGTGTCAGATGTGTAGCAGGGATAATCGCTTTCGTTTCAGATTTTAGCAGCCACTCTAAGAGAGATTGTCAGGAGAAAAACTGGCATATAGACAAAAATGGATAATAAGGTTGTGTACAAACATAATATTTATTATTACTTTTTAACAAGACATTGTTAAAGTGGATCGTTCAAAGCCAAACAAGTTCATAGGATCAGATATAACACATAACATCAGCCTCATTCATGAAACACAAGCAAAAACAATTATCTGTAAAACCACTCTGCGATTCATTTGAGAGTCAATTTATGATCAATTTACAGAGGAATATGTTCTGCTCATGTTTAATGAATGAAGCCCGATGGATGCACTTAAAAATGTCTACGCAACGTTATAGAAATTACACCTTTCATTGATGTGATGTGTGTTAAAATCAATGTCAGACTGTTTCCCAGCTTTTAACAACATCTATTAAAATGTGAAAAAAAGACCTGGCATGATTTGTCATAATTTCATCTATTAAATGGATAAAAGCTAGGGTGCAAAATAATTTCTTGCTGTAGACACCCACATTACATTGACTACAGGGGGTCAGGGTTTGGCTGGCTAGCGCAGGCTATTATGTGTGCAGAAAAGCATCTTTCTCCATTCATAGTCATTCAAAAGTAGCCATGTATTTTGACAAAATATATTCACGAAGCGGCTGAGAGCAACTTTTACTAAGAAATGGGGAGAAACCTTAAGCTAAGAGAAAGGGCGGGGTTGACCTTGTTGCTATGGATGATGTCATCAAGCTCACTAACTATGATTGGCTGATAGGGGATGGGTTTCTGTCAGTCATCCAATCATAGGAATATTGTAGAACCAGGTATCATGTTGCCATTCAAATAAAGATTAAAAAAAAAAAATGTTTCCATAATCAAATAAAGTTTTTAAAATGTAGGTGTCACTAATTAAACAAGTATATGTTCAGCTAATTGTCAGCCTCTTACATGTCTGCATCTCGTAAACAATTGTTTCTTCTTGCCCAACTTGTACATGAACATATTCAATTAAATGGAAATTATCATGAAATGTTTCTAAAATGTTTATAGCCATAGGCCATTGGATGGTTTGTGATTTGGTCTCAGTGATTTAGGAGTCGTCTTGACTAGCCCTAACTTTTCACAGATTTAGGTGCTGATTTCACGCTTTGAGAAATGCTCTTAAAGCAAAAATGTAGGAGTCCTAAAATTAGGACTGACACACCCATTATTTTTAAGAGTTTATTCTAAAACGGCAAGTTAGGAGCGACTTTTAGCCTTAAGATGTGTTGTGAATACGGCCCCTGGCCACTAAATAAGCAAACATTTGTAATATATGTTTACTATGCTATTGCTGTGAGCGTAATGTTAAATGGGTTGCATTGTCCATTACTATAAGACAAATGAAAATTAATTGTTCACACTCCATCGTTCAAATACAGCTCAATGTTCTGGATCTTAGTGTTGTTTGTTTTCTAAAGAGAGCTAACATTCTGCATCAGTGCCACTGAAGGTAAGCGTCATTTTTTGTTTCACTTGTGATCTGTTTCCATCACTAATCATTTACCATATGTAATGGGTATTTGATTTCACCATATCCTCATCAGCCAAACACTTTGTCTAAACTATTGAGTCTTTATGCATCCCTGCATCTTTTATATAGCATCTGAGAACTTGGAAGGAAACATGGAACTGAGGTAAGCAGGAATGAAAACAGTTCCTTGATGAGGAATCCTACCTCTGCTGTTCACAGCCTACTCAAACACACAGTCCAGTAGCCAAGACATGCATCTAGCCTGCAGAGCAGATAATCAGGTAGTGAACGGGACTGCATTCTAGTCCCTTCCCTCACTAACTTCCTTTTGTCTCAAGGACTTAGGTTATATATTTAAAGGATGCACGTCCTTGCTTAGATTGCATGAATGCCCACTACTGACAGAACCCATGCAATTGGTTTAAACGGAACACTTTAAGCTATTGATCACTTGGAACCCATTTTGCAGCTGATTTATTATTTACAGTTTTTTCTATATTAATGCATCATTATATAGACCGATGTGTGGAAGCTTGTTTCAGCCACTGGATAAAAAAAGGTAATTGCAACCTTTTACAACCTTTTATCTCACAATCCTGACTTGTTTCTCGCAATTCAGATTTTTTTTCTCAGAATTGCATGATATAAACTGACTATTCTGACTTTTTTCTCAGAATTGCATGATATAAACGGACAATTCTGACTTTTTTCTCAGAATTGCATGATATAAACGGACAATTCTGACTTTTTTCTCAGAATTGCATGATATAAACGGACAATTCTGACTTTTTTCTCAGAATTGCATGATATAAACGGACAATTCTGACAATTTTCTCAGAATTGTGATATATAAACTCACAACAACTATGAGTAATAAAGTCAGAACTGCAAGATATAAACGCGCAATTCTGACTTCTATTCTCATAGTTGCGAGTTTATATCCCACAACTTCACAATCCCCTTCACAGTTCTCAGAATTGTGATATATAAACTTGCAACTGAGAGTTATAAAGTCCAATTCTGAGAGAAAAAAAAAGACTGACTATTTTCTTACAATTGCACGTTTATATCTCACAAAGTCAAAATTGTGACATATAAATGTGCAATTCTGAGAAAAAAAGTCAGAATTGCAAGATACAATTTTGCAATTACCTTCTTTAAATGTTTTATTCAGTGGTGGTAACAAGCTTCCATTCCTATGGGAATGCTTGGGCTTTTGAGGAAAACTTAAAACACACACACACATAATACAGCATAAAAATAGCTGCATTTTGGGACACAGAAGTACCTGAAGGGTAAATATGAATAGACTCGCTCTCTCGATCAGAATTGCGTGATTGAAGATCAGCAGAAACGCTCCTTGCCCACTTAAGGAAGTGGAATGGACTTCCACAAATCCAGTGGAGAAGTGCTTAGGGAACTTATGATTGCAAGCAGAAATCGAAGAGCAGATACCAACTACGGGCCATGCCTACCATAGCAATGTTTTGAAGGGAAGCACACTATTCCTAGCCCTGAAGTATTAAAAATCAGTGGGGAGAAAGAAAATATAAATGTCACTTACCCACTTAGCACAACAATGAAGTCCATTACATTCCAGCCGTTTCTGAGATAGGAACCCTTATGAAAAACAAAACCGAGCGCCACCAGCTTGATACCAGCCTCAAAACAGAAGATCCCAATGAAATAAGGCTCGGTCTTCTCCTAATGGACCCGATGAGAAAGAAAAAGATCAAACGATTAAACAAAACAATCGATAGAGAATATCATAATAAGTAATACTGAAATGCACATTCTAGCTTTGATTTTATAATGATATCAAACTTCCAAATTTACAGAGCCCGGGATGTCACCTGAAGAAGAAAAAAAGACCCACAAATCTGTGGCCACGGTTTTGCAATTTGTCCCCTCAGTTTATAAACTGCACTCACAAATTCTTAAACTGTTTCCTCGATTTAACAAAGCGTGCTCATGGATTAATAAACCATACCCATGAGTTCCTAATCTGTGCTTTTAGATTTGTAAAACCATACCTTCAGATTTTGCAATCTGTACCCACAAATTCATAAATCGCGCCCATGCTTTCGCAATCTGTTTCCATGGGTTTGCAAAGGGATTTAAAAAAAAATGCTTAACGAGGCTTAATGTCCTAAAACAACAACCAGTGAAAACCAACTTTCTCCCACATTTCTTGTCATAAACACTATCACCATAATCCAAGAGGAAAGACAATAATTTTACGCTAAGCATTTTCTCCCCCATAGAAAACTGTGAAGAAAACATACACCTTATTGATGTAGCAAACTATTTACAGAATATGAATGCAATTCACTAAATTGCATGCTAAGCATTTTCCTTTCATAGAAAACTATTATAAAGAAAACGCTTAACGTGGCTCAATGCAGTGATACTAAAACTCAGTATACACCTTACTGCTGATGCAGCGCATTGCATTCGTATTCTGAGTTCTTCTGCTTGCCTTTACATACATAATTTTAATAAACTGTATCCCAGATTTAGCTTTTTTATAACACTGTATTTGTCTCTTAAGCCACATTAAGTGTTTCTGGCCCCATCAGCTTGCTTGTACATAGTTTGTAGCATCAGTAAGATATATACTGAGTTTGGTCTTTTATTATCCTAATGCATTAAAGTGGGAATGAATTGCAAAGAATTTGTGAGTATGGCTTATAAACTGAGGGGGCGAATTGCAAAACCGTGGCCACAGATTTGCTAGCCTTTTTTTCTCTCTCCGACAGGTGATTTCCCAGTGATGATGGTTGCCATTAGCTTCTGAGTAACAGTATGTATTTTATTTTGTACTCTCTGGACTCTGGGAATCCAATAATTTAGATAATATGTAGTATAAGTAGTAGCAAGAGTTTTGAAAGGTTCAGTTGTGTTTATCTAAAATATGAATGTATTAATGTTTTTTAATGCTTACCAGCCTTTTGGACATAGGCGTCTTGTCCTCACCAGGAAGATGCTGTTCCAGGGATAAAACGATGCAGTTGGCTATGATGGTGGCTAGGATCATATACTCAAATGGAGTAATGGCACAGGGGTCAAGGCAAATATTACATCAGGTGACAAAATGAGAATGACCAAATTTAAAAAAAAGTTTACATCTGAACAACAAAGAATCACCTCGTCAAGACTGACACACTGTACACTTTACTTCACACATTACAAAATCGTGTACACCTGCCTGCATTAATACCCCTGTCCTCTGTAGAAACATATACTGTATATACGTACATAAATGTTTATGTATCAGTATATGGACTTTTAAATGCATAGTACCTAGGAGTAGCTGACTAGAGATCCAGCTGGCCAGTCAAGTTTACCTTATGTAAATGAGTCAGTGCTGCATTAATGGAGAGTATGTGAGTGGATGAAGTGTGCATATCTTCACTGACAGACTCACTATAGCTGCATTGTCTTGCTTTAGCTCCTGTCCGCACTGGATAGCCTTGTAGCGGTTTACACAAATTACATACACTCTGGATGAACTCAGATGTCCGTAGAACCAGTGCAGTGCTTGTAAAAGCTTTGTGAAACCACTTCTTGTCGAATGGAAGAATTTTCTTCCTGCTGTCCTCAAGTACTACGAGCACAACTAAAGTCATGTGATCCGCAACTAGTCAACGCAGACCCAACATTCATTCATTGCCAACCAACCAAAGTTATTAATTGCTAGTTGGTGCCACCCCCAATATCACATTCAATTAAGTCAGTATAACTGGCTTTGAACATCCATTGAATGTGCCTCCGAACAACACACAGCGTTTTGTTTCTGAATGATTCCACATTTTTGAACCAATCAGGCGAGTCAAAGATTCATTGACATTCTCAAAGACAATCACTTGCTTTGTTTCTGAAAAACATCAGCCGTTTAATCGATTGAATGAATGACTCAATGACTCACTCATTAAGAGAATCACATAACAGAGAACATTGCATAACATCTAATCAGGTTGAATCAGGCTCTTCAGATCCGAGTCCTTTCAAAACCTGAATGAATTAATAATAATTAATTCCCCACAATTAAGTAATCAAAGTCATTACATGGGGCTGAACGAGAAGGGATATGGGGCGATGCCAATGGTGGAGCAGACGCTCGCGAGCTATCTCTCCCCATCCTCGGCATCATCCTCGGCATCACCCACCAGGCCTGTTAAGCTTACATCTAGTCTGGTTGGGAAAGCTTATACGGCAGCCGAGCACTGGACGTTTACGCACACAGAGCTGCCCCATGGCGTAGGGCAGATCAGCTTTTTGTTTGTTTTGGTCCGCCAAAGAAAGGATCTCCGGCGACCAAGCAGACTATGAGTAGGTGGGTGGTCGAGGCCATCTCACTAGCTTACGAGTCCTCTGGCCTCCCGTCGCCTATGGGGGTCAGAGCGCACTCGACCAGGAGTATGGCGGCCTCCAAGGCTTTCAGCTTGGGTGTGGCCTTGCAGGACATTTGTGCTGCGGCGGGCTGGTCCTCTCCGCACACTTTTGTCCGCTTTTACAACCTGGACCTGGCATCTACCCCAGGTTCCCAAGTTCTCTCTTCGTGATGTGCTCACAAGATACACACACAGGCAGTGGGTATTCTCGTTCCCAAAGCGATCTCGACGCAGCTCGAGTTCCTGAAGGGGAACGTCTCTAGGTTACGTATGTAACCATGGTTCCCCGAGGGAACGAGACGCTGCGTCTCTTTGCCATACTCCCTGCATCCCTGCAGGCGCTACTTCATCGAAGCTGGTTTGCGCTCTGCCGGATGCGCTTTTATGCTTTCTGGTGCTGACGTCACCCCGCTCGTGACGTCTCGCTGCTCCATTGGACGGATTTGACACGTGCTTCAGAACGTGGTCACGCAAGGGCATTCCCAAAGCGATCTCGACGCAGCGTCTCGTTCCCTCGGGGAACCATGGTTACATACGTAACCTAGAGACGTTTTAGTTTCATATTTAGAGTATCATTTCTTTTTTATTTACTTATTTTTTTTAGTATTTTAATGTTATGGCCACATTGCAGCCTTAAAAGTTTATGTGTAATAAAATAATAAAAATGAATGTTGAATAAAAACATTTTTTCTAAACCTTTTTTTTTTATTGTCTATTCAATGCAAACACGATAATGACTTTAAATTATCTTTTGGGGGGTCATTTTTTCAGCCCAAATTGGAGTGTGATTAATTGGCGATTAATTATTGGGCACAGCATGAATTAATTAAATTAAAAAAATGTAATCAATTCAATTTAATCGATTAAAAATTTTAATCAATTGACAGCCCTATATATATAAACATATAAAGGGGTAAAGTAGGGTTGACAGTGTAATTATAGATGTAGCTACAGAAATTAATTACAGATGTAATTAAAGGTATTTTTAAATTCAAGTACAATGTAAAACATATATAACACAATAAGTGAATTTTATCAAATTATTAATTTAAATGTAAGTACATAGTAATTAAAGACACTTAATATGAAGCATGTCCATTTATTGTTTTCATTTTAAGAAATAATAAAAATCAACTAAATGTTTATAGAAGTGACTTATAATAAACCCCATGTAATTGATCAGAGAAATTTAGCTGAGTGTCTTTCCTGACGCTGGTATTAAAATGGACATTCTTGGAAGTTTCCGTGACTTTATTTATTTATTTAATTTTTTTTTTCATGGGATATGTCCATATTCATTTGCTCTAGCACTTCACAGAAGTTGTGTAAGAAAAAAATAAAAAATAAAATAAAACAGACTACAGCCCTATTAATTTGGTAATTGTTACTCGTCTGTAAAAATAAATCTGTATGACTCCTCGGATAAAAAACACATGTGTTCAGATGACGATTTATTCAAAGTGGAGGAGGTTGTTTTGTGATCTTATAGGACCCCAGAAACGTGCTTCTCAAATTGTCAGTCACATGTTCAACATTTATATAAATATCCTATTTTATAATAGGAAAATTGATGCACTATGGGTTTTATCTCCCCAAATGATGGATGTACGTTTAAAAATATGGAAATTAGCAGAAATAAGTTGGCAAGCTCTTATTTAAATGAGGTAAACATTTGACCCTAAATTATATAAATATATATATAATACATATTTTAAAAGTTTATTGCAAAATAAAAGTTTGCACATTGTAACATGCACATTACAATGAAGTGCAACAGTTGGATGCTTGTAAACTCAGAGATGTAGATTCAGACACAATTAAATTACCACAAAACATTTGGTACCCCTGCCATACATTTTTATGTGTGGTGAAAAAAAACAAAAACAACAACATTCTGGATTCGGATGGCAATAAAATCACCAACTAGTCCACATAACAACATCCAATGGTTTTTTGTTTTGTTTTGTTTCACTACTTTATAAGCATCACTTTTACTGTTGATCATATTTCGTCATTTGAACAAACGTTTTAAAGTGTAGCACTTACAGTAAGTCGTCTGCACTGGCTGTGCTACGGACATGAATGATACCTCAATTCATGCAGCTTGTAGAGGAAAGCTGTAATACTACTTTTCTACGCAACAGGAGGGCCAATTTTCACCATTCTTGTCAGATAAGATGGTTGCAAGTGAGGTAAAATACTTGGAAGCTATTATACAAAAAATGGCATTATAAAACAATAAGCATAGTAATGTCAGTTCAGTCAGGGATGCACTAACCTAGAATTTTCAGCTTTTTTATTTTTGGCATCTCTCTAGCAGCGAGGATTGCCATGGCAACCTGCTTTCTACAGTTAACCTCCTCCAGGGAGGGTGGACTGTGAGTTTTGCTCACCTCAGAAACAGCCAAACATTATCTCAAGTGCTGCTTGTAATGCGCTTTCAGGCTCAAGTATGAAAATCATGTGCATTCCTCATAAGCATGTGCTATGACCTGAAATCTGTTGCTGCTGATTGGATCGGTAGAGGTGAATTTAATTCATTAAGTTGAAGGAATGTCAGAAAACATGAAATATATACTCTATTCAGTTTGTTGTGCAAGTTCAACAAGTATTGAAAAGAACAAGTAATGAAAGCCAGAGTACACATGGCCTTATACAGGAACTAAATCAGGGTGACAACTACTATTAGTTTAGTAGTAGAAAAACTAGTAGTCAGCAAGTCTAATACACATTACGATTTCCTCATAGCCATATGTCTGTTTCTTCTTTAAGAGTTGTAGCTTATTTATTCACTTTGATCCTAAAACTGGTATAAAAATATACATGTAGGCTATATAACATGCTGCACATACAGTAATACGCATACACTATATAACAGCATGGATTTGAGTGTAATACTAGTACAGTGTCTTGGGTTCTGTCCCACCATTGCATAACAGACATTTCTCAGTCTGTGTTCAAAATATTAATTAAATCTGCAGCTGTGTAATTGTCCAAAACAGTTTGCTAGGGAAACAAAACATTTGTGATTTATTTTCCCCAAACACATTCTCAAGGGCTTTGATATTATCATTATGAAATTATATAACTATATGAACTATAGCCCAGAGAAAAACTGTATTGTTCATAAATTGTTCTTTTTTTTAGAAGACTTAACTGAGTTTTCATTATTTTTTATTTAAATAACATCTTTGTCTCAGATGTTTCTCCCAATGTCCTAAAACAATAGATAAATGAGATAATTGTTGCATACAGTAAGAGTTTAGAGCCATAAAAACTAATGCATACAGGTACGTTTTTGGAGTGGTAGAGTAGTAAATGTAGATAGATGCATGTTTCCGTATGTTCATTGTGGTACGTATGCCTCTAAGCGTCTCTGTCCTTGACTAAGAGAGGACAGTTTGCTTGCTGGGTTTATAGTTGACGGCTGTGCATTCTTCAGCAGAATGACATAAAGTTGGAACCCAAGTGCAGTTGAATAATCATAAGTTGAATGAACAAATCTGTTAAAGCTACCCATACAATTCACTGCAGTTTCCATCTGAAATGAACACTACTGGCAGTAAATCACCAACAACTTTAATTCCTGTTCACATAAATTATGATTACAGGGGCAGATTATCCATTAATAAAGACTTATTTTTGCATGATACTATGTTATGACCTCAAAACACTTCCACCATAGTGTATGATTTATAAACAAATACATTTTCATGTCTGTATCACGTAACCATCTGTATTTGTATGGCTTTTCTGACTAAGTAAACTTGCTCTGTAGCACACCCGGTACAGCATTGCACTTATGATGTGAAGAACTCGGGTACGAGTCCCATGAAACATGAGTCATGATAAAAGAGCACAAAGACTTGTAGAAGCACATTAAAATGGCATGGTAGATTCTGCAAATGCATTTTAATCTCACAATTGCTTTTGTTAACACTGTCGTTTAGGTTTAGTGTAGGTGCGTTATTTTATTTATTTACTTTTTAGATGCAATAGAGCACTGACCTTATATCACCACTCACCGGACATTTAATTTCCAAACTGCCGCAATACAGACGGTCAACATTGCCAGATTCACGTCCATCTGTTTTGGATAGAATTAAACATGCTTTTAGTGCCACTCGCTGAACATTTCATTTCATTTAGAAGGTGTTGCAAAACATCCAAAAAGCAACGCAATATCATTTTGCAGAAATGCCACTACAGGCACATTTTTCCAACGGGCCTGGTTTTGTAAGATTTCTCATTTGGTAGATTTTAATGAGACTGCCTGTAATTGCAACATTTAAACAAACATATTTGAGAACAAAGTCGTGGTGAATGGTGTTCACTCTTTTCCCTCAGTTTGGCCCAAGAATGCCAGATTTCTCACTTCCATCTGCTGTCACGTTCACAGCCACGAGTCCACGCTCATGCCGACCATGGACCCTGAGTCAGCGCCCATATCTGCTACAGATGAGGTTATATCCATCTCAAACCAAACTTGTGTGCTATCAGCGCCCGAGCTGTTCACATCTACAAACCAGGAACTCAGACTCCCTGCCTCAAACCAGAAGCTTCCCTTTTCTGCAGCCTTCTCAATTATGCCAAGTTATGCATTCCTTGTCATAAGCTGTGTTTACACCTGGTATTAACATGTGTTTGTTCAGTCGGATCACAAGCAGACGAGGGAGACACATTCCCATTTACACCTGGTGTTTTGATCCATCCTCTTTTGTCATATTCGACCACTGATTTCTTTGAGGTAAGTGTCTATAGGCGGGTGTATGTATGGGGTTTTTCTGATCTTTCTATCTAATATTGTGAAATAAGCTTGTGCAATTCACACATGAATGCTAAAGGAGACAATGGAAATGATACGGAGAGCAGCAGCTTATGTTTCTGCTCTGACAGACACAAAAATATGCCAAACGCTGTGGGTTTGTGTCAGAATCAGGAAGAGAACATTGTGCTTTTTACATTTTTTCCCCCATCAAACCAAACTTACGATTTCAGACGGCAAAGTTTAAATTCCGTCTGGCTAGCGTGCTTTAATGACACGTCCTGTAATGTTTACGCATTAGGGCAGTAGGCGGAGAGGAGGCGGTCTTTAGTGGTTGTTCGAACACATTCAACACCATGAGCGTTTTCACTACGAAAGCAATCTGGTCGAATGCATTTTCAACTACCTCTGTACGTGGACTATAATGGATAAGCTCAAAACATTTCACACCCCATTTACATCTGTATTTAGAACTGTCCACTTGTGATGGGATCGACAAAAATGCATCTTAAAGGGGTCCTATTATGCTTTTCCAACTTTAGTTAGTGTGTAATGTTGCTGTTGTGTGTAAGAAAAAGGTCTGCTGGGTTGAAAGCTCGAAGTTCACTCTAAAAGGAGATTTTCTCTTTAACAGAAAACATTTTTTAAGAACTACAACAAACGGCATGTTTGGACTACAGCGAGCTTCTTCCAGATTTTGTGACATCACAAAGTCCCTCATTTAAATAATTCGCGCCCACGGGATATGCAAAAAAGGAGACGAGGCCTGGTTGAGCTGCGCTACAGAAGACGAAGAACAGCAGTTGCTTTAGTAGCGTGTTGTCTCTATGTCGCGGTTATGATAAGGGCCGTGACATTTCCGGAACACGCTCTAAGCGGTTTGCCAATCACAATGCACTGGACCAGCTAACCAATCAGAGCACATTTTGTGTTTCAGAAGTAGGGGTTTCATCGAAACAGGAAGTAAACAGCGTGTACGAGACAGTTTGGGAAGAGATGGTGCTGCAATAATGTAAAATATGTAAAAACATAATGTGCTTTTGGAACAATCAAGCATGAAAACCTATTCTTGTGCACCCCAAAAAACAAATCAAGACTTTGTAAAAGGGCATAACTGGTTAGGTGCACAAGATGGTATCAGTGAGCTTCGGCGAAGCGAGTGTGGGCATGCTTACTTCCGGTCTTTGCAACGTTTGCATAAAAAAAAATAAAAAAATAAAAACATTCTCCTTGAATTATTGTGTATCTCTGTGTGGAAATTCATTAAGATACAGTGCGGAGATTGCTTCATTCTTTCTGCTGCTGATTACGCGGTTCACTGTCAGTGCTTAGTCAAAATCCACAGGGATCTCTTAATTCAAACAAAAAACCCACAAATGTGCAATACTGTACATTTTCGGAGAGTTGATTTTGTTCTGACTGCTATCTATGAGATCATAAGGTGTGCGACGAGACGTTCAGAGACTTCAACCTGCATTATGGACTCAATTTAATTATTGTAGGTTTGCATTTATTAATAGATCGGCGTTTATATTTGCCTGTGTTGTTTTTATTAGTATTTATCTGTTTTGAGAAAATGAGTTTAAGAGCATCTGTTGCATAAATCATTATCTGGAGTCTATAAGCAGTACATATATTTTTACAAACTTTTTGCATTAATGAACTAAAGTAAAACAAACCTTTTAATTATATCTATAGCTATTTATTAATTTGATCTTTTTATAGCCCGCGCTTTCATTTAAAAATATGTTTTTGTGCAAAGTGCAAACGTAACATAAAATATGTAGTGGAAATGTTGATGGAACAAATAGATGTATGTGCAGAATTGAGAAACGGAGATTAATTGTCTCACAAGGCAAATGGTTTTCAGTTCAAAAACGTCGAGGCAATACAAACATTTTTGAGAAATAAGTAATTTGTACATTTACATAATTGGTAAGCGAAAAATACATTGTGTAGCTATGTGTGCACACCTACTCAGGGAACCATGGTTACATAAGTAACCTGAGACGTTCCCTTTCATGGGAACTTCGAACTGCGTCCTCTAGGTTTCCCATAGCAACCCCTAGAGGACGCAGTGTCTCGTTCCCTACTCAGGGAACCATGGTTACATAAGTAACCTGAGACGATTTCCTTCATTCACCTCTGCCTGACCCAAACATCTGGATGGCTCATTTAACATTTTTATTTTTATTTTGCATGTTAAGTCACGTCACTGCAATCGATACCCCAGCCCACATGCTTGTGTTTGCACTCACAGAATCAGTTTCTACAGCCAGCATGGATCACTATCCAGCACCACCACAAGGTCACAATCCAAGTCCACCACAGTCCTGAATCCCAGGTCCTCCACAGCCACAAGTTCACAAACCTGTGGTCCAGGTCCACTTTAGTGTTCACGTTTGCAGCACAGTGCCCAGCAAACCCAGATCACAGCTGTCAACATCCACCAGCACTGAGCCATTACTGAGTTTGAGTTGCCATGATTGAGTTGTTTAAAGTTTAGGATGTTATGCAATGCTTTGCCCATAAGAAATCCACCCCTACACTCTCAAATTAGTACTAATATGTACCATTAAGGTACTAATATGTACATTTATGGTACTAATATGCATTCTTTAAGAGTAAATAAGGTACAAAAGTTTACCTTTTTAAAAGCTACTGTCCCAGTGACAGATTTTGTACCTTTTTTCTGAAAATGTAGGGAAGGGGCTCTGTAAATGTTTTGTTGATTTATGCTGTCATGCTGCGTACTTGTCTGTTTGTTGTAATATTTCTTATGTCTTCATTTTAAAGTTCTGGTTTTTGGTATTCAGTTCTGTATTCAGGTGTGTCTTGTTATTGGTTAACTACCCTCAATTAGTCCTTAGGTCTTGTTGATTAGTCTAGTCTTGTTATTGGACATTAATTCATCCAATCCATTGCAAAGAACTTCATACACACATATACGGTCTGCATTTCTTTCATTCTTGAACATGAATTCATCCAGCACACAAAGAAATGCACATTTCCACATTTTCACGTCAAGGTCAGATGTACAGAAACAAGAGCTTGTAACACTCCAAAGAGAAAGGAAAAATTGAAATCGCATCATATGACCCCTTTAAATGCTTGGCAAATATGACAGAGGACAACGCATGTAAGATCACTGGATTCTCAATTATGAGAAGCTAAATATCTCCATATGCTTTCATTTAATCTCATTGTGTTCATTTTATATTGGCTAGATTAACCTTGATCTGGTCTCTTAATTTGTGTAGTACATTAAAATAGTTTTGTGCGGTTCCCCAACTCTTTTTAGCATTTCTTTCAATATTTAGATATGTAAAGCTCTCACAAGCAGTTCTGACTATGAAGTATCATTTATTAAACTGTTGCACCCCAGAACGAGTGTCTAGCACAAAGTCTTACTTTTTTTTTTTTATGTTAGAAACCATTTTGCTAAGGGCTGAATGCCAGAAGTGTCTAGAAAGTCTAGAGAAGTCTAGAAAAATCAAGTGTGTCTTTTAATACAGAACTTGTTGCCAACAGATGGTTTTTGCAACTTATTTTCGGCTTTTACTAAATGTTTCCACAAAACTCAAAAGGGCAGGTAACTTCAGTCAGAAGATAAAACAAGTAAGACAACACAACCATCAAACAGGAACATAAATCAGTGATAATTGCATGCAATTTTTAATTGTGTTATTCGCAAAAGGCTTATGAAAGGATATGGCCACTCTATAATCCTCTTTGCATATTTTCTTATGATATTATTCTCAGCGAAGATAAAGAGAGACCTGTTGACGGTGAGACAGTTGTGTTTGGCTGGGATGGGGTTGTACAGAGCCATGGTCCGAGCCCGTTTAATCTCCCCGGCGGACTCGCTCTCTGCCTTCCCCTCAGCGCTCACCTCCTTAGGCATATCTTCAGACTGAGCCATGTCTCAAGATCTCGAAAAATAATCAATCCCAGCTTTCATAGACGATACCAGCTTTACTCCATTCTTCTAACGGCAAGCCAGCTTGAAGAATATCTCACGAGGTTTGCTCAGTCCCGCCTGTTGCGCTCCGTAAAGAAACTTTCTGTGATTAAAAAATAATAAAAAAAATGTTTTAAAAAATACAGTCCTGTTTATCAGAAGGCTGCATGTCTTTTTCGAAGCCTTGTATCCTTTTCTTGGAAGTGTTCTGCCATGTTTCTCTTGACAAAGATCATGAAATCCTTTTCAAACGTCCAAAAATGACACTTCTAAATCTTCTCAGGCTATTAAATGTGAAATTCTAGCAAAACCCAGCCTGTTTTTTCTCGATGCGCAGATGAATGGTGTAATGCGGTGCAGTTTGTGATACTTGTTACACTGGTACTGTGCTCTATAACAGTGAATGTGGTCTTTTACCATCACATATTGCCTCATCTCTCGCACTCACCCGCCCCCATCTCTCTCTCTCTCTCTCGCTCTTTCTCTCGCTCTCTCGCTCTCTCTGCCCCAATGCTCCCCCTCCCACACACACACACACACACACACGCTACGGGAAATCAGGACATAGGAAAACTGGTTACCATGGAAATGTGTTTTACATTTTATAATGTGATTGTGAGAGTGGCTTATCATTTAGTTTGTCAGATGGTGAGCTGAAACAGATTTGTAGCACAGTTAAGGCGTCTGTACTCAGTTAGTGCAAACCTCAACAGTGAATATATTTGTCTCTCTCATTTGTTCATCGTGAGTTCTAATAATTCACAAACAAACTAAATTATCTAATGGATAAAAAGAGAAACACCTTGTTATTTTAACAGATTTTTAGAGTATCTTTATAAAAGGTACAGTACCTTAAAGTTGAAATGATGCTCTCACACCGGCATGTAATAAATATCTGATTTGATTCACAGTATGCATAAATAAATATGGAAAATGTATGTTTATTTTTGCTCATCTTACCCTGGGACAGCTGTAAGTGTCACAGTAGCTCCACAGTGATCACATGATTGAAACAGGCAAAAATGTAGGTTAAATTCAGGCATTTGGCAATATTAGCTTTTGCACAGCTTGTACTTTTCCAGTGTCTCACATACTCAAACTGTGACAGCCGTCCCGGAAAATCTAAGCGTGAATTTTAATGCCTTTCTCCCATTTTAGCACTGATTATTCTGACAGCGTTTATATTCAGTGCTGGTAGTAACTGAGTACATGTAATCTGGATTACATAATCAGATTCCGAAAATAGGTTACACTTTATTTTAAGCTGTCCTTGTTACAGTGCAATTATACATTTAAGTGCTGAGTAATATTAATTAACTACATATACTTACTATATGGTTAAGGTTAGGATTAGGGTTCCTTGCATGTAATTATGCATAATTAATTGTTATTATAATAGTACACACATGTAACATGCATAACATGGACACCTTAAAATAAAGTGTTGCCCAAAAATTAAGTATTTGTAATTAGATTAAATTACATTTGAATCAGATTACAGTTATCTTTTATGGATTACATGATTACGGATTATTCACACAATGGCAGTAAATTATTTATAATTTATTGATTCTCCCTAATTTTTTTGTTTTTCTTGTCTTTCTAAAAATATTGTGTCATATAAGATAGCGTTGAATATTCACAATATAGATTGGCCATTCAAATGTCATGTAAAGTAATTTGCGATCCATGTATCTGAATTTGGAGACAAAAGCACCTCTTAGGCAATTAGATCATGTATGAGACGATTCAGACGAATAATTATGAAAGTTACTAAACACTGCTGATATATAACAGACATAAATATTTAAAAACTGGAAGACTTTGACCATGTCATTTGTGTTTTCATGTTTATTCATGTTTTTTCATGTGATGCAGGGATTCCCAAATACTTACTTGAAGTCCCCCTGAGATTTTGTTTTTTTTTTGTGCATTTTTATGATTTTGTTAATAATAAACCCACTTCTTTCATTTACCCCAGTGAAGTAATGTAATGTTTACGGTTTGCTGCATTTCATGTTGATAACAAGGAATGGAATATATATATGGAATATACCAAAAGTAATCCAAAAGTAGTCAGAATACGTCACCTAAAATTATTGATATAGATTACATTACTGACTACAATTTTCATCATGTAATTAATCAGTAACAGTAATTACACTGTAAAAAAATAGTGTAATTTTAACTGTAAAATATTACAAATGCTACCAAAAAAATGTGAATAGGTCTACAGTAAGTTCCTGTACTATATACAGAGGAAAACTGTAAAAGATCTAACCAGACATTTCATGCAATTTTACAGTAAAATGCTGTAAATTGTACAGTTTTATAAGTAAAAAAGATCAAATCATTTGCAGTCAACCTAAAATATTTACTTGAAGTCCCACTGAGATTTAAAGTTAATCTTTCAACCATGTAACAACATATTTGCATGTTCTCGGTTCTCTGATATTGGTTAATGGTCACATGCAGGTAAACAAATGAAGTATTTCAGATATAAAAAAATAATTTTTCAAAAACTGTAAACTGACTTTCCCAGAATTCCCTGCATGACATTTCACATTTGAAGGTATTTGTTTAAATAATCATGTTTCTTAATAGTTTTTGTTATCAGTTCTGCACATTTGGGTTTTGTACAGTTACATCTTCTGCTGTTTAATGAATGTTTATTGTATTATTTAAGTGTCACGTGTGTTTCAGTACCGTGATGGTGTTTTGTGTTTGCATGAATGACTCTATGCACCTTCTGTAAAAATGCTTTAGCGTGTGGAAAAGCTGCTTATGATTCATTCTTCATTAATCTTCATGTAGCTTGCTCTTTTACCACCTGCATTATTATGGTGGTTGTTTGTATATGTTAAAGGTAGGAAAGAGATGTTAGCAGTAGTGTGCGTTGTTGAATTTACTGGTTTAAAATGAAATCTTCTTGTTTTGTAAATTACATTTGTATACTGTAATTGTTTTAGGCTGTTCTGTAAATATGTTTACATTTTTTACGTATTTTTTTTTGCAAAATTATTCTGGCAACCACATCTGCCAAATGTTGTTTTGTTTTTGTTTTTACCATGTACTGTAAGTGATAGCAACTGTTTATATTTTTATTGCATTAGTGACAACCTGCAGAGTACATTTTAATTTCAGAACTTCTGAACTATATTTAAATCACAAATAAAATGCATGCTACTTATTGTCTGGCTGCATGAAACTGCTATACATCTACAGCATTTACACTGATTTATTGACAGATTTCTCAGTGTTTGAAACAGTAAAACAATGAAATCGTAATCAGAACTGTGAACTTGAATTGAAGATCATGTGACACTGAAGACTGGAGTAATGATGCTGAAAATACAGCTGCGCATCACAGAAATAAATTACATTTTAAAATATATTCAAATAGAAAGCAGTTATTTTAAATAGTAAAAATATTTCAGAATATTACTGAGTTTGCTGTATTTTAGATCAAATAAATGCAGGCTTGGTGAGCAGAAGTGAATTCTTTAAAAAACATTAAAATATTACTGTTTAAAAACTTTTGACTGGTAGTGTATGTCTATGCAAAAATATAAGTGATTCACATTATATAATGCATTATAATGACATAACTGATATAATCTGAATCAGCAGATTCTATTGTTCTCTTGTTATTCTATTGGACCTACAATCATTGCAACACATTGCAAAATGAGACTGTATTGTGACGCAGGTGTGAAAGTGACTAACATGCACATGCATGCACACACACACACACACACGCACGCACGCACACACGCACGCACACACACGCACGAACAAGAAAAATACAGCAGCATACTTTACTGCACAAAGTGTTAATACTGACTTAAAGCCTACTAATTCATATAACAATATTCATGATTTGCATACATTTCAGGTTAATTTATAATAATTTAATTGATAATTATTTCGTTGCCATAGAAACGCAGTTCAGGATCATACATTAGCTTCATCTGTTAGTTCATAAGGCATCTTCTTTGATGTGAAACACGTGGGCTTGCTCTTTATGTGCTGACGGTATCACCGCTTACCATTTGTTCACGTTCTGTTCACTTTTATTTCCCTTTGCTTATCGCAGGGGAACATAGCACAGAAAACAATAATATTGATATAGAAAAAAAAAATATATATATATATATATATATATATATGTGTGTGTGTGACATACTGTACAACATATGTCAAACATAGATTGTCTGACTTAAAGGGATAGTTATAGGGACCAAAAATGAAAATTCTGTCTTCATTTTTTGACCCTCATGTTGTTCCAAACCTGTATGAGTTTATTTCTGCTGTTGAACAAAAAAAGAAGATATTTTTACTGATATTTTTATTTTAACAGTTGCTGGTAGCCATTGACGTCCATGGTATTTTCCCCTACTGTGGCTACCAGCAACTGTTACCATCATTCTTCAAAATATGATCAAAACTGATGTTTTGTAATTTTCTATGTAATCTTTATTCTGTCTTCCATAAAACTAGCTGAAAACTAAACCAACTAGAGAGAAAAAAAACATGTGATCGTCAACAGTTCCCGCTATTACTGCTGGACTGAAGATACTGTTTCATTGCATGCATAGGGGAAGAAAAAAAATATATATAAGGACAAACAGTCCAAAAACTGTGATCCAAAAAGACAGATGGGACAAATATAAATCAAACCACAGTCTGGTATCAGACCTAGACATTCTCAGAACAAACTGTATTTTAGACAGATTTTTACTTAACAGACAGATTTATTAACCGAGTATGACCAGTATAGTTTACCATGGAAACTGATTATTAACTGATAACTGAATGAACCGGGGAAATGAGGACATCTGTTGGTCGCAGGGGAAACTGTGACTTGTGATTGACATTGATTTACTTTGGTTTTATTTTGAGCAAACAATATGTTGACTGGCCTTTAGTACAACAAGTTCAACAATTGACTCTGTTAACAGTAGAACAATACGCTAGTGCACAAGTGCATTTTGATGAAGCTGACTTTATAGTGACAACCTGCAAAG